CCCCAAAACCCCAAAACCCCACATATAAATAATTGAAGGAAATTTGAAATATCTAGTTAAAAATATATTTCAATTATTAATATGAATAGCTATCATTTCAAGTATATTAGACATAATATGCTGCACAAATTTGCCTTTTGCTCCACCTACTGCATTCAATCCCATATCATTGTCATTACTTCTGCCTACTATTTCACAGTTTTATCCATTTGCAGTGATTGTAATTTTAATTAAGGCCTAAACTGAAATTGGTGGACTCTATAGAGTGAAACTTGTTCCTCCACAAATGATATTCTTCTAAGCCTCTACTCCGTCTACAAATGTTATGGCATTTTTACCAAGCTACAAAACCTCTTTCAATTAAGAAAGTGACCTGCACTGGTTAAAATCTACGTTGAAGGATTACTTGTGATCCTAAGAACTACATTCAAAATTCCATTTAAAAATGTATCCTGCTGCATCTTTGATGTCAAGTCCAGAGCAGAATTTTAGCAGAATAATCGGCAATCTAATCGGTAAGTTGGACATTTAAACATTATTAAGGGAGTAATTTAAAGAGTACAGAGGTATTGAAAGCTGAAATCCTGCAATTTTAATAGTAATATCTATTGGTTCTTGCTACCCTTGCTGAATAACAGGTATTGAATCCCTATTTTAAGATACCTGATATCCAATTGGCTATTATGCAGTAACAAATTTGATTTGAGAAACCATTTATCCTTGAGGCTTTCCTCCTACAAAAACTCTCATTCTTACTTACCCATTTGGTTAGTAATCTGAAATCATTCCTATTTAGAGATTCTAATCCTCATAAAGAACAGCTTTATTAGAACCCAATGACTTCCTGAAATAGTTTTGTAGATTAGCGCGTAGAAGTTATGCTGGGTCCAACCTTAGTTATAATTTATTCTATTCATTTGCTAGACTCTCAGTGTTTACTGTTGAAAATTAAGATTTATCAAAGGATATGTCTTTATTAGGGCTGATACCCATTTAATTATTTTGCTACTGCTGAGGTGAAGATTTTTGCATCAATGGATTTACTATTGGATTTTGGGGTTAGATATTGGTCTAGAATTGTCCTGGTATAATATGAGGCTGATTTATTTGCTATTATTAGGCCATTGGTGAAATTTAATTCTATTAAGGACCGCTATGCATATGCTAAGATAAATTCTATTGAGGTATCTAATTATTTAGTAAGTGATTTGAATTGCTGTGAATTTAATGAGTTTGAAAATTTTGTTTTTCTAATTCTCTATTCATTGGGAAAATTTAACTTTATTGTAGACTCTGTGATGAATGATTTACATTATTTAATTGAGTAATATTTGTGGAGCCATGGTTCATGTTGCTCGGTGGTATATTTATATTCTCTTGCTATTATTATCTGAGAGGAGGAACCTCAAACATTCTATTGAAGTCCAATTTCTTTTCATGACTATCCTGTTATTAAATTGGCTACAGTTTTTCAGGAGTATAAAGATTATTATTTATTTCTGGACTCTATTTTTTTATTTCAAGAGAGTTTGAGCCAACTTTATTTTAAGTATCAATTTAGTTTTATGTTCCTAGTCCTAAAAGATCATCTAAGTTCAGATCGAAATCTTAGTTTTATTTTGGATTTAGCTCTATGATTTGTTTGGTTTATTACTGATCATCTTTACTTTTATTGCTTCCAAGAATATCACCAAACATCTCTAAAAATGAATCCTTTTTCTCAACATTAGTCTTACCAATTTATTTTAACTCATCATCCTTTTTCTGTGCTTGTTCAATTATCTTATTTTCTTGAGAAACTAATGAAGGTCCAAAAAATATATTCCCCTTAACTTATTCTTACTCAATTTTCAATTCTTAAATTGGTATCTTGTTATCAAGGACTTTAAAATGATTATAATCTTATTTTTCAATTTCCTTTACCTAGATATTAGCTTTAAAGTCTATCTTGAATAAATCTTATTTCTCTTGGAATTTTACTTTTTCTTCTGAATCTTTTCCTTTTTAAACCGAATCTTGAATTCTGTTATTAAAATCCCAGATATCAGGACTTTCTTCCAATACTTGTATCTTTTCATTTTTTTATGGTTGATCTTTCTAAGATTCTTGCTTTTAAAATAATTTCTATGGAGTGTCTGTCCTATCAATTAAGGTAAAATCAAAACCATTTTTCTCATTCTTATCTTATATTGTATCATTTTATTCGACAAACTTAATTTCAGGTTCTTAACTAAAATTGAAGTCGAACACAGATTTCTCCTAGTTTAAATTTTTGTCTTAACTTAATACTTGTGGAGACCTTTCTATTGGTGGAAAGCTAAAGTCTTCTTCAATTTTGATTGGCTCTTAAATTTTTTACTTCTGAGATTTTTACTTTCTTTCTTCTCTGTCTGAATCACTGCTAGGCACAGGAGACATTGATTCCTCTAATGAGATGTTCCTATCATATTAGTTTATGTCATTATCTAAATCTATTTTCAAATCTTAAATCATTTCAACTTTGAATTATCCAATTTAATCGATGTTTTAGAAGGGTTTGATCCCAATATATTGCTGCTCTATTTTCTCTTCTTCAAGCATCATATTAATTTTAAAAGGAGATTCTTTTGTAAAAGGGGAAAAATTATTTTCCTCAGAAACTGTCACTGGCTCCTGTTTAATCTCATCTTCTTCTACAATAACCTTAATTTCTTCGAATTAATCAATTTAAAAATTCCCTTTCACTGGACTTCTTTCTGTTTATACCTCCTACTAGTTCATTTCCATGCTGTTCCTTTTACCAACATCAGGTGATTTCTCTTTGTTGAACTTTATCATAGATGGTCTTATAACCATTTTTTATTGTTAGCTCAATTCCTTTGATCTTTCTTTTTCTTCATTTAATTACTTATTCAGCTAGTCAACTTCTATTCTCAGCTAATTCTAATCACTCAATAGTGATTGCTTTTCAATCTAAAAAATTCTAATATTTTATTGCATAGTCTCTCTGGCTAATCTCAATTCCTCCTCATATTTCTTTTGAATCTACTCTTCTCTCTTCCTAAATTCTATTTATTCTTTTTGAATCTATACTCTAAGATCATCTTCGGCCTACTTGCTTCGAAATAGTTCTTATTGAAGTTAAATTTTAATTTCTTTTTCACTCAGTCTCTAATCTTCGAGATCTTTTTCAAATTATTCCTTCTAATCATCTAGTGATCTGCGGAGATCCTCGTTTTCTTTTTTTAGCCTCTCATTTTCAATATCTCTTTTTGAAGCTTAAAGTTGTTGTCTTTCTGCCATTTTTTTATATTCCTCAACTTAATGCTGCATTTCTGCTATATCATTGGATAATTCAGTTTTTTAGAGTTTTTCTTGCTCATAAAGATATTCAAACTTCTTTAAAGGCTTAAGCTTACTCTCCATTTCCTCAATATATACTCTATTTTCGAGTCTTTCAGTTTCAAGCTCTTTTACTTTTTCTGTCAAGTCTTGAATCTGAGGTTCATACTGGACATATTGTTTTTCTTTCTCTCTCAACTTAATTTAAGCATTTTTTAGATCTAGTTTTAAGTTTTCATTTTGAAGTTTGGCATCATCAATCTTCTACTTTAGAAAATTTATATGTTCTATCATTGTATCACTACGTTTTGTATCTTCTTTGACATCAAAGGTATTCATAAAAGATGTATTTGAAGGAGCATCCATATTAAAATCAAACTTCTACTCACTTGAGGCAATATCAAACTCATTTACTGCTTAATTTTAATAATGATCAGAAACTGATTAATTAATTGAGAACGGTGACTTTTGATTGTCTATAGTGTCAAAATTTTTGAGAGATTTTTAACTATCTTTTTTTGCACTGTTTTTAGGTTAAAAATCAAAATTAAATGGATTTCCTGGAGATGACTTTAACTAGCTTTAAGCATGATTATCTGTTTACTGTGCAGACGGCTATTGCTTTGCAATAGGAAAATTGAATCCAAAATCATTCTATCCAGATTAGGAACTCTTTTATTTATTTAACGACTTTCTCGCATTAAAGTCCCAAGAAAAATCATCATTTTTTACTTACTAAGGATTAATATTATTCGTCATAATCTTAAAATTAGCAGAATTAGAGGCCATACTCTATCTAGATATTCTCTACTCATTATCAGGGGAAGGAAATTTGAATAGATCTTTATATGCTATACTCTCATTTAGCTTAGGTTAATCATCATCATCACTGAGATCTGCATCAGGGCTTTCAGGTTTGTTTAATAGATGATTAGAGGGTTTTTAGATTAGTCCAAATTATACATCTTGAGTATGATTTCCTTTAAATGATTTTTTGTTTGGTGATTCAAAATTACTATTAACATCATCATCTTTAGAGATTTCATTAGGTTTTTTATTCTAAGGTTTCATTTCCAAAAATGTAAAAGGCTTTAGCTGTTCTTTAACTGTTTGATCGAAACCTGGCTAGATATTCACTTACTACAAGAACATTGGAGATTGATGTTAAGGTATCTATTTTTATTGAATTCCTACTGTAGGTGGTATTCCAGAACCAACTTTTTATTTACCCACAACTTTTTTAACCATAACTTCAGGCGCTTTCTGTTATTCTAAAATAGCTTCTTTTTTTACTTCAATTTTTTCAAACTATGAATCAACTTTAACTTCTACATTATCTACTTTCTTTTATAATTATGGTTTTGAATCTTATTATTATTTCAAAGGTATCTATTAATTTTAATTTACGATTGGTTTTTATGGATCCTATCTTTTAGAATTAGTCTGATCGGGTATGTTTCTTCTATTTGAGGATATTGGCTAATCAAATGTAGATTAAATGGGGACAAAACTATTAAAATCGCCAAAAGCATTATTATTAAAATTTGCTGCAATGTTTGTGCCCCATTAATCTTTACTTTGGAAATTATTATCATCTAGATTATTTTGTAGACTAGTCTAAGGAAATGCGAAGTTAGTCCTAAATATATCTTGGTTTATAGTATTCTCTAGGTTCTTTTATTCCAGCTAAGGTACTTTGAATGGATCATGCTAGAGTTCATTTGACTTATTATCTATCTAATTCTAATTTTCACTGTCAATTCCATATCTAGCTTTGTTTTTATTTGAGCTTTTACTTTAATTCTATTTGCTATTATCATTAAGTAAATTCTCGACCTTAGGAGGTTGCTATCGTTATGGTTTTGAATTTTATTAAATCTTCTTTTATGGAGAAATCATATTTTAAACTAATGGTGGCTTCTAGTTTTAAGAAGTCTATTTCAGAGTTTGTTGACTTTGAGCTATTAATTTTTCCTCCATTTATCTTAATGATCGAGGGCTATATGGTTTGAAAATAAGGATTTTTTCTAGAGTCGAAGATATTTCTCCTATAATTTATAGAATTTTATTGACTTTTTATTCTTGATCTTTAATAGGGAAAGGGGAGTCCATCAATTTCTTTAAGAAATCCTCACTAAACTACTTTCCCTCAGTAAGTTGTGTCCTGAATTCACCTAGCAGCATATCATCCATAATTTCTCCAGAAATGTTAGATTATTCAAAAACTTCCTCTGCAAATTTCGACTGCTTATGATATTCATTCATCTTTTTATAATCCTCTTTAATCTAATTTTGATATGCTACTTGCTTCCCTCTGGTACTTAAATCTTCGACTTTCTCAGAATTTTGTGGTTAAAATGCAGTGGCGACATCATTTTTCAATCTTATGCTTTAATCATCTTAAGATTACTTATTAACTTGAACAGATCCTGCTGCTAAATTATTTTGGCTATTATTTCTTTATTAAGGATTACCTTAATAGGATAGAAATTAATTCTTATTAAGTTCTATATTTTATGTAGTAGTATTCTTTCTTTGATTAGCATTCTTATTGATTGCAAGCTTAGAGTTATTTAAGCCTTTACTCTCTTCCTAATTATCAAAACTCAAACTTGAGTAAACAGCCTCCTCATTTGGAATTTATACTCTTTCCTTAACTAGAGCACTATATAGTTTCATAGTCTCAGTTTATTTCCCACTTATAGATCGAATAGTAGCCCATTTTTGAATAAAAAGCAAGAGAAGTTTCAAAAAATCGGCAGATGCTCTTTGATTATAATTTAGGCCAAATAATGTAGCCCCTCTCTCTATATCAGTTGATTCCTATGAAAGTTATTATCAAGTTATATTAAAAATGTAAAATTTTTAAGATTTATACACTATCTATAGTAAAAACAATTTTTACGAACTCCCTTAGGAAGGAAAAACCGCATGAATTTCACTATTATCAATATTACTTAGACTTACCTTTTTATACCTCGCCATCTTTCCTAATCTACTCATAATTTTTATATCTGCATAGCTTAAAAATTCTTCGTTTACTGCTTGAGTCAAACAATCATTAAGTAGTTTTAAGGCTAGCAATTTTACTGGTGAGTCTTTTTTCTTGTTTTTGATTATTTTTTTGATAGTCTCGATGATTGGTCTTACTTCCTTTCTATAAATCAATTTTAGAAGGAAATAATATTTGCTACGTTTAATTTTATTTGACAAACATAACTATTTATTAAGAATAGTCGTTGTACGATGAGTTATCCTCGCAAGATTGCTCCACTAAAAAGCATATAGTTGACTACTACTGATTTTAAGAGCTTGACATTTTTACTCTTATATTCTGAGTAATTTATAAAATTCTAATTTGATTTCAGCTTATTGTCAATATTTAAAACTAATATTAACTTTAGGGGTTTTGGGGTTTTGGGGTTTTGGGG